TGTGTGTGTGTGTGTGTGTGTGTGTGTGTGTGTGTGTGTGTGTGTGTGTGTGTGTGTGTGCTGCATATGTTATCGATTGGCAATGATGCCCAAGTGCTCGTTGTCCATCCCTGATTCGCTGATGTTTGCAACTTTGCATGCAGGCGTTTTTTCTGATGCAGCAGAGTTTTGTCTATGAGCTCCCAACCCATGTATGGTAATGAGAAGGTGTAAAGAGCTCTAGTGTGTCACGGTCATCTATGCCATCGTCCATTGACCGTTGCCAGAGTAATCAAGTGGGAGCAATTGCAGAGAAAGCCGACTTCCTCGTCGGTTTAATTTTGTCCATCAATCAATCCATACATACATTCAAGTCTAAGCGGTGATTCCACTTGTGTCGAGTTGAGATTTGGCATTTTTCCTCCTCGCTTTTTGTGTTTTGCCGAGATGCGTTTGTTTTTTGGTCCTTGGTTGCATCCTGTAATTAACTAGTCGCAGTAGGGGGCTAGGACGATATGGTTTCGTCCCAGAGGGGGAAGAAGGGGGGAGGCAGAAAGTCTAACGGTCTAGTGACATTGATGGGTTGAGGGTTTGGTGGGACCGCGCCTTGTGTCCTATCTGTGGAAGCCTGGATGTTTCTGCCGGGCCAGTGGCACGGGTTGTGTGAAGCGGCGCGTCGTGCCATCACCAAGGAGAGGTGGGAGGTGAAACGAGGGAGGGCGGGAGGGAGGGAGGGAGGGAGGGAGGGGAAGGGAAAGGGGGAGAGGAGGTGGGGGTCAGAAGACTTGCATCAGATACAGTGATATTGATAGGTGGAGTTTGAGGTATTGTTGGGACCCCTGCACATGATCTGTCCGGGAAACTGACGACGGAGACGAGAGGGAGGGAGAGAGAGGGGAAGGGAGGCAGGCCGGGAAGGAGAGGGGAAGGAGGGTGCACGCAGTTATCCCCACGCAGTATTATTGCAATTGGCTCTTGCGAAGCTGTTAGGTGAGAAAGCTGTGCACTTGCAGAACTTGCATGCATTCGCGCACTGGGTTTCCACAACAAGAACTCTCCACCGTGGAAATCTTCATGCTTACGTTGATCAAATTTACGGAAAACATTGTAAGAAGAAAGAGCGCTCTATATTTGGCCTCAGGTGCGGGTCCAAGTGCCTAAAGCTGTACTCACACGTGCACTTTTTTGACAGAATCTGGCCGTAATTGATGTCAGATACGTCTAAAAAGTTCTCGTATGAATATGCCCTGGCTAGAACATAAGGGAGCAAACGGCAAAGGAGGAGGATAGGGAGGGCGCAAGCAGCGAAGGAGGAGGAGGAGGACCGCACGCAGCAAAGGAGGAGGAGGAGGACCGCACGCAGCGAAGGAGGAGGAGGAGGAGGAGGAGGAGGACCGCATGCAGCATGTGAATGACGACTCTATAGAGAGGGAAGGGCCAGGGAAGGTGAGAAGTCCATTACAACTTTCAGAGTAAAGGGGGTCATAGTAACCGTAAGTAGCAAGCGCTATCTATATGTCTAGGGACCTGTCTGGTTTAGTCGCCGACTTGGGTCTAACAGAGGTCACAGGCTTAGATCTAACAGCTGCGAACCTGACTGAGGGAAGGAGCTGCGAAGGACGAGGGGTCGACATCAGAGCGCAAGGACGGCGGGTCGAGAGGGCAGGGAAGAGAAGGGACAAGGGAGGTGCTCATTATCATGGAGGACTTGTTGGAGGATATTCGAACTCCGCCAATGCCATTGGTGGCATTGGTAGGGATGCCCGATTTGCATCCTCAAATCAGTCACTACTTACGAGTGGAGCAACCCTCACTGAGCTCTCTTTCTGTACCGGATTATGGAGGAGTCGTGGCACTGCAGGGGAAAGATAGACGGCCATTTGACGCGCGAATGCCTCCTCCTCTGGGAATTGTGAAGGCGGGCTGGCTTTCTAAACATCGGCATCGATGTCCTGCAGTGATTGCCATTTTCTTTGAGACGGAACGGGTCTTCGGGGACGGAACACAGTGGATGTCCGTTTGCTCGCAATTCGATTCCATCAGGTCAGTCTTTTCTCCTCCCTTCCTCCCTTCCTCCCCTCCTCTCCTCCTCTCCTCCTCTCCTCCTCTCCTCGACTGTCCCTCACGCCGTCCCTCCTTGCAACTTTCTCTCCCCCATCCCTTTGCCATGATCTTTTTGAAATGCCTATTATCTGCTCAGGGCACCTCTCTTGGTCTACCTGTGTCTGTGTCTCTATGTATCTGCCTGTGATGTAACTCAGATGATGTCCATCAGATGCCATTAGGTCAATCTTTCCTCCTTCCCCCTCCTTCCCTCCTTCCCTCCTTCCCCTTCGTTCCCTCCTTCCCTCCTTCCCTCCTTCCCTCCTTCCCTCGGTCTGTCTGTCTGTCCGTCCGTCTCTAGCCTTGTTCTTGTTGCAGAACGTTTCTTCCGTGTAGGAGGTTTTGGTCTCTTTGTTTGCCTCTCTTCCTCCCTCCCTCTCTCTCTCTCTCTCTCCTGTCTCCGTTCTCTCCCACCCGGACCCTCTGCTTACGTCCATTTTTCGTTTTCTATGCCGTGTATGTCTCTCTTTCTCACACACAGTCATTCTTGATCGTTCTTGACTTCTCTCTTCTGTCTCTCTTTCAACTTCTCTCTTGTGTGTGTGTGCGTGTGTGTGCGTGCGTGCGTGCGTGTGCGCTCTCAAATTATCAGTTCTAAGATGTGAATGCACAATCAGGATCTTCTGCAGACTGTTTGCTGGTAACATCAGGGGTCGCTTCGCAAGCTGTCGAGGTCCAACCTCGTGACAAGTTGGTAGAAGTCTGATGAAAGTCTTTTACAGTAATAACCCCTTGTGCGGCTCTGATATGCTTTGGCCAACCCCGTCAATAGGCACTCGATTATATGGCTGTCTCTAAGCCTCATCCTCATCAATACCTCCAGAGCGTCTCTCTCACGAAATTACCTTCTTTTGTAATTCGGAATGCAATAATTGTGACAGTTATATCTGAATCCTCTTGGGAGCTCATTTGTGTGTTCCATGTACGCTGGAAAGGCTCTATGTTTACGCACATGACATGCATGCACACATTCAGAAATAGATAGATAGCTGTGTGTGTGTGTGTGTGTGTGTGTGTGTGTGTGTGTGTGCTGTCTCTTATACACATCTAGATGTGTATAAGAGACAGGAGAGAGAGAGAGAGAGAGAGAGAGTTGCTGACGAGGTTTGCAGTTCTGCTTTTCTGTCCGGTGGGATTTGGCATTTCGGCTGAAAGAGCGAGCCTTTCACGAGGGCGTCCTACAAAGCTTGTCGTGTGTATTGTTCAGCATGTGCCAGGTAAGCACTATTTTGCCCTCGTCTGTTGAAAACCAAACCTGTGCCTTGGTTCATTGAGCTCATTCTGTTGCTGTTCCTCACTGCAGACGGTCTTGTTTGCACTTGTGTTTCTTTTTCTTCCTAATGGTATAGTGATGTGTCTATAGTTGGAAGTCCTATCGAGGACTATAATCATGCCAAGGGTTAACCCTCTTTTTTTTTTTTCCCCCCGAGTAATGAGGGTGGTGCCTTTGGTCTAGCCAGTTCTTGTGTTTCCTTCTGTCTGTTCCTCTTTTTTTTTTAATTCATTTTTCAAATTTTCAGAAAAGACTCGAGCGAGGGTGGCTTTGGTCTGGCCAGCTCTGCGCTGTATATTTTTCTATTGTTTTGTTGGTTTTCACAGGTTGTCTTGATTTTTCTTCTCCGTACAATTAATATATGATGCAGTATTTTGTTTGCAGGATGATGTTCGGGAGGGGCTTTGTATGTTTCGATGCTGAATGTTTTATTAACATTACAATGATTACATTGAGAATGGATTTGTGGTGCTTTTTATGTGTGCTTGCTGCTCTTATATTTGGTCTTTTGGGAAAGAGAAAAAAAGGAAGGAAAAAAAAAAAGAAAGAAAAAAAAGAAAGAAAAAGAAGAAGGAGAAAAAAAAACAGAAAAAAAAGAAAAAAACGAAAAACAAACGAAAAACCCGAAAAAAAACCTAGGCTACCAGCCGGGCCGCCTGGGTCACCTTGTTTTCCCGGACGGCCCGGCCGTGCAAGGACCGGGGAAGGTCCCAGCCAAAAAAAAAAAACCCGAAAAAAGAAAAAACAGTAAAGAAAAAAAAGAGAAAAACGGAAAAATGAAAAAACCGAAAAAAAAACTAGGCTACCAGCAAATGGTAGCCTGGAAAAAAACGAAAAAAACGAGCAAATGGTCCTGGCCGAGCAAATGGTCCTGTGCCACTCTGGTAGCCTGGAAAAAAACGAAAAAACTTAAGAAAAAGAAGAAAAAGTTGGAAAAACACGGGAAAAAACCGAAAGACTCGAAAAAAAACGAAAAAAAGAAAGAAACATAAGGGGAAAAAAGAACAACCTACCAAGATTATGCTGGGATCACTGTCTACAGTGTCTAGCGTTTCTGCCATTTCGTTTCCCCTTCTGTTTCCCTCTTTTGCTTATCCTTTCTCATGCCAGGTGCTCCACTCTCAAGTGTCCACGTGCATACTCCTTTTTTCTACACCATGTTTTCGCATCTTCTGTTGATGCAAATTACCACTTTCAGACCTTGCTGTTTTGTCTCATGTTGCGTTTTGGTCTGGAAACAAGTCTAAAAAAACAAGAAGGCACATCTTGTTGGCGCTTGACGGCTTTTTCTTCTTGATGAAACTGCAGGAGACCTTCTAATGATCTGTGTGAATCACTCTTCCGTCTTCACCTGAATGGAACACCTGGTCATTATAGCTGTATTTGGGGCATCATTCAGTCCAGATGCAGCGATAATGACACAGCGTTCTATTCAGGTGAAGACGGTGGTGTTACCAGTGGCATTTATGGCAGAACTCCGACTATGCGTCCCCTATGAAATGCCAACACAACCGCCTTTTCTCCTCGCCCGCATGTTTTTCCCTCACCTTCCCCTTGTCCTTCACACTTTTTCTTTTTTTCTTTTGCCTTTTCCTTTTATGCATCCGGCAAGTGTCCTTCATGTGTGTGACATGTGTTTGACATGGCTCAGAGACGGTTACCAATAGGTGACTGCAAACAGTATGTTGTCGCATAAAGCAAATAGCATTGCTTGTGTGCCGCCTCCACCACCTCCTCCTCCTCCTCCTCCTCCTCCTCCTCCTCTAGGGTGTCATCTTTGCAACGTAGGGGAAAAAGGGAGCTCACTGCCTGCATGGCAGGTCTTTCGGGAGTGTTTAGCTGGAGTTGTGAAGCAGATGGAAGATACTTAATCTCTGGCAGCAGATAGATCTGAAGAGGCACATAGGGTTTTGTTGGCTTAGAGTGTTCTGCTGGTCCGGAGGTGTTTGTTGATATGAGCATGATATGAACTGGTGATAAGGATTGTTGGATAGAATGCAGAGTCTTTATACCTGTATTTCGTGCACTGTGAAGGCCAGATGCAGGCATCAGGGCCCTATATTCGGAGGAAGATGGCAACAGTAAGAGCAGGGTCAAACCAGGTTGACCAGTACGGAGGCAGAGGTTGTGGTGTGCACCGACGCTCATTGAAAGAGAGGAGGGGTTGGGGGTTGGGGGGGGGGGGGGGGGGGGGGGAGTGGAGAGAATAGTAGGATGCTTCTTTTTCTTTTTGCCTTGTGAAGTGAAAGTTGAGAAAAAAAAGAAAAGTCCGTTAAAATTGGAACGATAGAGAGAAGATTAGCAAAAGGAAAAGAAGGTAAAGGGGGAAAGGAGGAATTGAAAAAAAAGAAGACAGGAAGCTGCGGTCCCATTACTTATACAAGAGCTTCATGCTAACCTGGTTATATGTGGATAGTCTGCTTTTTATCAAAGTGCTTGTAAACAGGCCTTGCTCCACTACAAAAAATTCCACACGTATGTGGCCTGACATCCTGGACAGGTACATGTGAACTTATATAACATTCAGAATGTTGTTACGATCCTGGTCATTTCCGAAGTGCAAATTCACAAGGAAAGACAATGTCATCCGCTTGTGAAAGAAATGAAAGCACTTGAGAAGTGATAGAGACCAAAGAAGAAGAGAGAAAGAAGAAGAGGAAGAAGGAGAAGAAGAAGATGTACACCCGCAAGACCGATGACAATCCCCCTTCGCCAATCTTATCCTTCTTCCAAATAATAATAATAATAACAATGAGTGGTTGAGCCAGAATCAATATCCGAAGTTCCCTCTTACTGCCAGCACAACAATAGGTCCACCATAGCCATGGCTTCCCCCTTCACCTTCCTCTCACATGCCAAGGCTATGGCGGACTACTAAGGGCTCTGCCCTCCTGTGCAAAAGACAACTCGAAAGCAGTTATGGTCGCTGCTCTTCAGGCCGCCATGCTGCCTCGAAGCGTCCTTGGTGCAGCATTACCCCAACTGGGGCCTTCCAGATGCAGCGTCTAACAAGGTGATGAAGATGGCATCCACCATAGCCAGGTAGGTACCTCGCCAATTCCCCTGCTTTGCCCCCTTCTTCATCCTCCTCAAGCTGGGCTGCTCGCCATAGCCCTAGCTCCTCATCATCGTCCCAGGCAGCGCTCTGTGTCCAGCGCTCACCCAAGCAGTATGTTGCCCAACCTTCCACACTGCAAATGAGGAGGAGCTGCTCGCTCCTCCAGAAGATATAGCGGCCTACTTGCCTCTTGGGCAGTGACTTCAAGGCCGCGCGGCCTCCAAGCAACCGGTACTCCCTCCCTTTCGGACGGAAAAATCATTGCGGGCTCTGATATCGTTAGTACAGGCCCTAGACTCAGGCTACTTGGACTGGTACCGGTCTACCTCTAGCCTGCCGTTACTGGGCCTCTAAAAATGCCAACTTTGTCTTCTTCTGCTCGGCCTCGAGTACCGAACACATCTACCACTACTTGAGTGGTACCGGCCTACCTGGTACTTGAGTTTCCCGCTGCTTGCCTACCCCCACTACTTGAGTGTTTTTCCCGCTGCAACCCTCAAAGTCACGGCCACAGGTAAGTAGCGGCCCTGCCGGGCCTCCAAATGAACAAGTACCCGCCGCTACTTGAGTGTTTTTCCCGCTGCAACCCTCAAAGTCACGGCCACGGGTAAGTACCGGCCCTGCCGGGCCTCCAAACAGACAAGTACCCTTGCGGGTTACACGCACACTCAGGCCGACAAGCACCCAGACGGGCACGCAGACGAGCAGGCACGCTTACACACAGACTTGGGACCACAGCAGAATGCGGGAATCACAGCAAGGCATTCATTCCATTGGCAAATCCCAGAAATCAGCAGTGTTCTCAGTCTGTGTTTTTTTGTCATTACAATGTATACGATCAGTATCAGGTCCAGAAACAATTAGAGTGGTGTGTAGTGGAGCGAGGCTCAATGCCTTGCATTAGGAATTCAGGAGCTGACACATTTGTCATTTAATAGCCTGACGTTTGTCTGGTTTTCGTGCTACGCTCTCTGCTTTGTGACTCTTTTTTTTCTGTTTGTTTGCTGCTGGGCATCTCTTGCGTATGGCATATGAATTTTGCGAGCTGGGAGTTCCTTTTCCCTGCTGAGAAAATTGGTATTATTATTTTCTGTGTGGGCGTTGCGGTGGATGTTCGAAGGATGCAAATGTTGGCCCCAGGGACTCAAAATGAATGCATCTATCTATGCGTTGGGCCATACGTGTGTGCATATGGTGGAACATTGATTTGTGTGGGAAGAGTGCCTGTGGATTGCTGGTGGTGATGGACATGTGCGGTTGGGAAGGGATGGGTTAATCACACGTGTTGCGAGGCCTGGGGATGCGAGCGGCTGGGCGTAATAGGAGCGATGCATACATTAGCCATACATGTGCGTGGTCCTTTCATGAGCATTGATTTGTGTGGTATGTCTGTGGATTGGTGGTGGTTGATGGTGTGTGTGTGTGTGTGTGTGTGTGTGTGTGTGTGCGGTTGGAAGGGGTCGTTAATGAGGAGAGAGCGATTGCATTGAAGAAGCGCGGCGACCTGGACCCTCGTTGTTGCATGCTGTTTGTCACGCATGACCAGGTCGACCTCAAGCGATCCTTGAGTAGGTAGGCCCAGAAGAGTCCCCTACCCCCCCCCCCCCCCCCCCCCCCCCCCCCCCCCCCCCCCCCCCCYCCCACCAAATTCCTGCAGCTACCTAGGTCTCCCCCAACCTTGGCCACAGAATCGCTTACACAATTCCTAGCATCTTGCAAATCCACACCGCTGATCTTTCACTCGTCCTCAGTAATTCTTCTTTTCTGTTTAAGGCATGTTCTGTCTATTAGTCTATGAAGTTGTGAGATGATGGTTGACGCCCCCATGTTTAAGAAGTGTGTCTCCAACGACAATGAAGCTTGGCAGTATGCAAGGCTTCATGTAAATCGAAGTGATCAACTGAGGGGTGGTGCACGGGGGGGGGTGGGGGGAAGGGGGGCGGGGACAGGCACACTTATCTCTCCTCAGCATGGGACCACTTGTGTATGTTGTTGATGCAGGCAAGCTGACATCAATTGCCAGCATGGACAGGGCAGACATTTTGAAGGACGCCAGCTAAAACCGTGAAAATCATCAGTGTGAAAGAGTACAGTTGAAAACGCAAAAGCCATCATACTAAGGGACTATAGTATACTCCTTTAGCATCATCAAGTGCTATTTGATGATGCTATTTTTGAGTGCTCTACAATGTGTACATCCATTTCTGACCCACAAATGGATGTAGAGCGCTCAAAAATAGAACACAGACAAATACAAAGACAGCCATCAATGTGAAAGAGTAGAGTTGAGAACGCAAAAACCAAAACCACACTTAGCTACACACCCTCTTTTTGCTTATCGTGCAGGGGTGGTCGGGATGGGGGCAGCAGATTTTTGGGGTATAGGTCCTGGCTGTTCTGTTCATCGATAGCTACGTGTATGTACTGTTGAGGCACAGGGAAGGTATAGCATGGTGAGACTCCTTACTAAGGAATCATATGATTATTTGGGGAGGACATAATAATGGATGGAAGGCTGTCGAGGGAAAGGGGGGGGGGCGGGGCGGGGGGGGGGGGAGAGGAAGTACCACTTCCTCAGTCGTTGAGCATCTGGCAGAAAGGGAGAGAAAGCTTAAGAAACTCATCGGTATTTTTGGTTTGGCTGCCAACGCTACGTTCTGTGTTTGATGCCCAGGTTCGCTTCTGTGGTTTCAGACCTTGCCAGACAGTATTATGGAGAGGAAGGACGGAGAATCAAGACACGGCTAGAGCGAAAAACCTACAGTTCGCCAGAGCTGACAGTGCGCTACAATTTCAAGGTGTGTTGGAGAACGTGCGTTTTTGGCCATATTGCTTTCTCTGTATGGAATAATGCAAGCCAAACTTGCTGAAAATGAGGATTGCGAAAAAAAAAAAAAAGAAAAAAAAAAAAAAGGAAAAAAAAAAGAAAAGAAAATGATGATTGCGAGGTGCTTAGCTTGGAGTTGGGGCTTGGATGGACACACTGGGGAAAGCTGAGTGAAAGCTGTGAATACTGTGACACCATGGAAGAAGGTAATTGTCGTTGCGTTTCAAAAGGGGTCGTCGCTCTTCTGTGAACACCTGTTTTGTGCTGGATGCTGTACTTGTCATTGTCAATTGGCACAACGGGTGCATGCAGGTCCATATGGTTGCCCACGTGTGGGCCCAAAGTGCTGCCTGTGCTCCCCATCCCCCCCAAGACACTGCGCACTTGAACCCAAACATTCTCATAAGTGTGTATAAACTACTATAAAGTGGGCTGTATGGTTCAGTCTCTGTGCAATTTTTACGTAAAGAACTTAAGATCTTTTTAACATACATGCGGCGCATCGCGATGCGCTGCACTGCGCATCCCGCACGACGCGCGCGCACTGCATGCGGCGCACCTCCAAAAATGGGGGTCAAAAAAAAAAAAAAAAGTTGTGAGGGGCGGTAGTAGACCCGGCCCCCTGCTCGCGTAAAATAAGAAACAGGCAGCCAAATTTTTTTTGGAGGCCGCGCGTTGGCCTGAAAGCTTTGAGTAACCTGTAGTTCGGGTAACACTCTGTGTGTGTGGTAGGGTTATTGCAGTCTGTATGGTAGGGTTCTTGCAGGCCAGATTCAGTCATGATGAGGGTCGCGATCTTTCAAAACGTTCTCTTCGTATTACTTCGGAAGTAGAAAACGATGGAACTGACAGCCGTTTTTCCTGGAATGTTTTTTTTTTCCTTTTTTTTAAGGAAGAAAATCAGAATTTCTTTGCACGAGTGTCGCCCGGCACGTCCAACCTGTCAGAACCTCAACGGTAATTGGAGTCTGTATGGTAGGGTTCTTGCAGGCCAGATTCAGTCATGATGAGGGTTATGATCTTTCAAAACGTTCTCTTCGTAACTTCTGAAGTAGAAAACGACGGAACTGGCAGCCGTTTTTCCTGGATTTTTTTTTTTTAATAAAAGGAAAAAAACGTAAAGGAAGAACAGCTCTTTGCACGAGTGAA